ACGCGAAAAGCAACGCGGAAGGCAGCGCCACCAACAGCAATACCACTCAGAAGGCCGTGGCAAATGCTTCGGATCGAAGTGCCACCTCCACTTCGTTTGCGCGTGCATCTCCGCTGTTGCTGCTCACGGCTGCCCTTGCCTGTGCCGCTGCCGCTGGGTAAGTGGTGAGGGGCGAAAGGTATTTGCACACACACCCTGGCAGGGGCGACGCCTATTCTTTTTGCGCCCAGTTTGCTTGTCGTCCCTGTGGGTCAATCCTTCTCTCCTTCCTGTGCTCTGAGGGATGGTTTCTTTCCTTCTTCTTCTTTTCTTGATTCGCTACCCCATGCACGTTCCCATGGGCGGCGCACCCTTTTCCCCTCCTGTTTGCTGCCGCCACACACACACGCGGTGCTGGCCGCATTGCCGTGCGCCGCACGGGCCTCCCAAATGAGGCACGAGACCGCGGCAGCCGTGAGATGCAAGCCTGTCGTGTGGTTGTGTGTGCGACCGGGGCATTTGTTTCGTTTTTTATTCATGCAGGCATTGAAATATACACACACACACTCTCACAGTCCTCTTGTGCTGCTGGACGCGTGAAGGAACTCCACCTGCCGAAGTAATTACTTTTTTTTAATTTTTCTTTTGGGGCTTCTGCGTGGATTATTCACTTCCATTCTTCGTCTTCTTTTTTCTTTTGCTGCCCGGGCGATGCTCACCGCTGCCGTGTGGGGTCGCGCCGTTCTGAAATCCCTATTCTGCCGGTGTGCCGACGCGCTTCTGCGTTGCCTTCCTCTTTTTTTCCGCTACTTCTCCTCCCGCACACACGCAGAGGAAAGAGACCAAACTCTGCTCGTTGCCGCCGTGCGCTTTGAAGGCTCCGAGCTCTCACACTGCACAAACACACAACCGTCGCGGCCTGGGCGGATCCACCGCAAGGAGGGAAGGGAAGAGAGAGAGATTGACCCAACATGCCCCGGCATCTGTTTTCCTCTGCTGCGCTGCCGCTGCTCCTCCTCTGCGCGCTGCTGATGTGCGGCGGCGGCTGGACTGTGCTCGCTGAGGCGGAGGTGGCTGCCCCGAATTCAGGGACAACGGAGGCCCCTTGTGGGGCACCGCCAACTGCGTTTCCGACGCCGTCCGCCCCCCTCGTTCACCGCCCCGTCGCTTGTCGAGGTGAGTGGCGGGCTCGTCGCCATCGCGCAAGCCAACGGTGGCGGCGCGACAACTGTGCTGGCGAAGCGCATTGCGTCTGCCGCATCGACTGAGCTCTGGACGGTGACTGCCTCC